AGTAAGGAATTATCAATGTATGAAGAAGGATGTTAAACAGAAAATCCTGGTATTTACTAAGATGTCAGAAAAGATTTTTCCCTGTTGGCTCCAAAACCTCTTTTTTCAGTATCTATTTAGGTTTCCCCTGCAGCCTGCAGGAGAATAGCCATTGCAGAAGGTATTTACTGGTGGTAACTTTAATTCTTCTGTTTTGCAGGGCCACAAGAGAAAAAACTGGAAGGTGAGGAGATTTGTTTTGAGAGCTGATCCTGCTTTTTTGCACTACTATGACCCCACTAAGGTATGTGAGCGGGGAATTACTACCCCCAGAAATCCTCTCACAGACCTGAACACTATAATGAAAACACAACTATGCTGTAAATGTTTCTCTCACCCAAATCTCCTTCCAGGTTCCTTGACCCATTTCCTGGGGAGTCAGACCTCTCTGGCCTTACCCTGGGAGGTTGTCCCTGTAGGATCTTCTATCCCAACATCTTCCCTCCTGTCTTTTCCCCAGTGAGATTCCTTTTCCTTAGCTGACGGGCACCAGCCTTCTAGGAATTGTTCTTTGCTGTACCCACACAGTCTGGGTACAGCACAGTCGTGCTCCTGCAGCGATTCTTGCTGGGCTGTGTTCTTTCTGAGCTGACATCCCACCACTTGAGGGTCATAACTGCTACTGGGATTTTTTACGTTCTTATTCCAACATTGAATAGGGTCTCCTTGATGCTGAAGTATTTATAGCAATTGCTGCTACTCAGATTTAAACTTGCTCAGGGAATAGTAGAATTTATCTTCATGGCTATAATAAACAATGTGAGGAACCCAGAGGGCGTGTGAATCTATTAGCCCCAGATGTATAGGGTAGCACAAAGCCCAACAGGTTGCTAAAAGAACATGTATAGAAATGCTTTATGTGACTTTTAAGGAAAACACAAACAACATAACAGTGAAAAGAGCTTATGCAGCTCGTTCATTTTTTGTAGCCCGTTTCTTTATGGGGCTTTTGTGCACTGCAATTCGCCCTTGTAATGCTATAAACTCAAACTGCAGAACTTGAAGATCGACAAGAGAGCCAGCCTACTAGTGAAAACAGTCAAATTTTCTCCATACAGTCTCAGTGAAAAGCAGCAAGCTAAAAACTTGCAGAAATACATTTTTTTTCTTTTAATATGGATTGTTACTAATAAGTCTATACATAAGTTTGAAATATGATTGTTAGCCTACCCTTGTGCTTTTAATTGATCTCCACCATTCCCAGCTATGTCAGAGAAACATTTGAGACTGAAACAACGTAGTAATGCATTTGATTACATGTCCTAATTGACTTCTCTTGTGACATGGATGTTTTATATCTGGAAAGACTGGCATTACATCTCCACCTCCATAAAAATAATTGATGTGCTCTGGGAAATTATTCTAATGATGATATTTTCCAGATAAGCCTCATTTGCTTTTTCTTTGCAGGAAGAAAACAGACCAGTAGGTGGATTTTCTCTTCGTGGCTGTCTTGTCTCAGCTCTGGAGGACAATGGAGTCCCAGCAGGTAAGCACGAGCCTCTAAACTTTCATACATACATATTTATGCCATAGCAATACAGTCTTTGGTCATGGGTTTGTGTGTATGGCTGTCCATATGCACAAGGGGGCTGGCCTTTCCTCTCCCCTTGCAAGCAACGGAAGAGGCTTATCATAAAAAGTCCCCACACTGATGGGTTGTCCATACCAGAGGGGATTTTTTTTTTAAGTGTTATTTCCACATATCTTGGGTGTTCCCCTTTTTATGGGCTTTTCTCGGTCAGATGACGTCTGAGACAGTCCTAAGACACCGATTAATATCCCAGAGTTAACAGACAGAGAGAAAACACCTTCTTTTTGGATGTTGTTTAAGTCTTGAGGAATCCCATAATGCCATTCCTTTTCTGTCTGTCCTCTCTACTTATGCTATTACCTTTTCCTTTTTGATCTGCTAGAAACCAAATGTAGGGGAGGCATAAAGACAGCAATAGAACAAACAGCTCTGGTAGTGAAAATGCTTAGCTTAGGCATTTGTCTAGAACCTCAGCCTGACAGATAAGTGTTTCTGCTGTTTAAGCAATTTATTTTATGACAGTAAGCACAATGTGTGGTTCTCGAATAGGCAGCATCTTTCTAAAGACAAAAGAGAGGGTCTGAAAAAGATACAGTCCAGGGTGGGAGGCCATGATGAACAACAGAGCTCCTTGATAACAGGAACCCAAAGATGGGCAGGAGCAAATCTAATCTACTGCACAAACTGGTAGGGAGTTCATCCCTGCATTGTGTAACTCAAGTAAGCTTCTCCATCTAAACAGCAGCTATTTTACATATGAAGCATAGCACACAGTAGTTCTTCCAGTCTATGTGAGGGGTGTCTGTACTATATTTTGCAGAAGGGAAATCAAAGACACAAGAGCTTTAGTCTTATCCACAATGAAATGAAATGGTGTAAAACCCTAATTCACTACATTAAAATTCTTCTCTATGAAGCTTCATATCTCCTACAAAGCATTTCTCTATGAATCTTCCTGATCTGTCTTTTTATTTTTCTCTCTGCAGGAGTGAAGGGCAATGTACAAGGCAACCTCTTCAAAATCATCACTAAAAATGACATTCATTATTACATTCAGGCCAGCTCCAAGGCAGAGCGAACACAGTGGATTGAGGCGATCAAACCATTGACATGAGTAAGGTCAACTCCATGCCAAAAGACAAGTCACATTTGTGAACAAGTTTCCTGCCCTCATTGTCTGGGAGTGTTGTTTTCCCCTTAGATAGTCTATTTTTGTTATTTGTATTGCCATAGCACCTAGTAATTCCTGGCAGACCAGCATCCTAGGTGCCTAGGAGTCATGTAGACTCAGAATCATTCCCCACCAAAAATTTACCATATAACCAAGAAACAAAAGACAACAGCTGGATACAGACAAATGGGACTTTACAAAGAAACAATGAGATATAATATTCCAAAATGGAAGAAAAGAATTCTTTTGTACAAGTGTTCAGTCTATATCTGACAGATCCAGGTTGTGCTTTATCCTAAAGCAGAAATGTCTTGCTCATTTCCCCTTTATAAAGGGGCTCATAAACTTATTACTTAAGACTGACTGAATCAAAGTCATAAAAGGTCCTGGTGTCTGAGGCTGCCTTTCTTTGTATACCACAAGAGTCTTGTGCTAAGACACAATCCAGCTGCCAGGATAATCACTATTGGAAAACAAACCAGGGGTCTGTCTGTCCATCCATCTGCTCTACCATTTGGTTCTCTGCTAGGCTGGAAAAGACCAAAGGATCCGCCTCGCCAATATATAGGTTATTCTTGTGCTGCTGGCAATGGCCCATAGCAGTACCGGATCCCGAGTAACAAATCAGACCAGTGGCAGTTATTCCAGGTAATTGCTGGTGCGGAATATATTGGAAGAAATCACTCAGCCATAAAAGCAGGACTTTTCCTCCTGATTATCCCCGTAAGTCCATTTCTGTGGGACTGAGAACTCTAATAGCAGTTCTGAGTATTGCTTTTTCCATTTTAAGCCATTCAATTTTGCATTATTTGTCTAGTAAACTTGACTTTGATATCATTAAATATAACAAAAAAGTTCAGTGCATTTGATCTTTAGACATGATTTTTCTCAGGGGGCAGTTTGAGTATATGAAAATAGTTTCATACACTGTAAATTTAGATTTATATAGAAACTGAGATATTCTCCACAACACCAGAAGGTAGAATGGAATGTATGAGATGATTAAAATACCTGACCATCCTGCTGATACACTATTTTCGTAAAATTCCTCGTGTTATCTGAGTACCTGTATCTGACAGCCAGACTCTGCAGAGCCTCCAAAAGCCCTCTGAAAACAGCATGCTATATATCTTCCTTGAAGTCACAGAAGAATTTGATAGTCCTCTATCCACAGAACCACCTCTTTGCAGACTTTTTGTTCTCCAAGTTATGTACTGAAAAAAAAGTCTCTTCATCTAGAGACTTTCCCCGTCATCCTGTGTTACAACCAACCAATCATAACAAAGCCAAAGGCAGCAGCTATAATAAATGCTTTTATATGTATTAGAATAGCCGTGTATTTAGGCCTTTTTTCTAAATCTCCAGCAATGAAATAACAGCACAACACTCACGTGCATTCAAATATTTAACAGCACTGGTAAAGAAGTTTGCCAGCAAAGATGCAGTTTTAATTAGATACAAGAAAGGGCAATGCAGTTTCAGCTACAGATACCAATTCCTAGGGCTGGTCCAGAGAAGACTGTGAAATCCACAACTGTTGAAACCTTTCAATTCACGAGAATGCTACCTGCAAGAGACAGGGATGGTGGTAAGGCATTTATGGCTCTGTACTGGGAAGCACAAATGGCTTCGTGCTGACTAAGCAGAGCTTCCAGGAAAAGCAATTCCCTCCTGATAACGTAAGCCCTGTTGGGGCCCACCAGACTCCCTTATTCACTTATAAGGAAGTCTTCTGCTTCTCTTTTCCCAGTCCCACCACCTGCATACTGCCCAGTTCGAGTCACAAAGGTAACAGCCACCCGTCCACAGAGGACTGAGCTCCGCCAACTGGCACGCCTCGGGGGTTAGAGGACCATGAGGATGTGAGATACTGCATAGCATCATGAATCTTGCAGTTTGGAAGGCAAACAGAGTATCTCAGCAAAGGCCCTCTCATTTACCCAGACCCGCCATAGCTCTGTGATTGTTGAGTATGTACGAGAGAAAAAAAGTGTATGTTTCAAACACATCAACAAATGAGAAAGATACAGTTCCCACTCTTCAGAATCAGCCAGGGCAAAAAGACTAAGCATTTCTCAGACAGGAGAAAGTACATTTGCCTCTGTCCTCTGCTGATATTGTGGTCTCCTTTTTTTCAAGCCACTTTGGTAAGCTTGATGTCGCCTGTGATCTGCAAAGCTTTCACCAAGTTCAGGGGCTGAATGCGGTGAGTGAAGTCACAGAGCTGCCGTCCATCAAGCAAGACTCGTATTTGCTGGTGTTCACACAAGAGCTCCATCTGCAATGGAAAAGGACAGGGGATGGTGTTAGAGACAAGCAGCAGAGCTGATTTCACCAGCATGGACTTAGAACCCCATGTGATGAGGACAGTGAAGCACAGTCTATTGGTTCTTCAGAAATGCCCATAATAAATAACCTACTCTCTGCTGAGATGATACTGTAAAACTCCTCACAGTGAGTTCTGTCACTAAGACCAGAGAAAGGAATGGATTTCTCCCATCAGGGCTTGAACTGTTGCCCTCTGTGCCGTACTAGACTAGTTAACCTGTCAGTTTCCATAGTTAGTTATTTGACGTCATATACGTAGCCTTCATCCTTTCTCCCCCCCTTTTCTCCAATCTAACCATAGTACCCCCCAAAATACCTTGAATGTGTCGCCTGCTGTAAATGGGAAGTAGGGAATAGTCTTCTCTTCTCTTCCCCATTTCCCAGCAATTCGTGCATTTCGGGTGATGGATTTGTCACTAAAGTTAACTGTAAATAACAGCCCAACATCTTTGCTTGCATCCACTGGATCACAGAGCAGAGTCACTGAAAAGCTGAAAAAAACGATTAAATGGCTGGCACTTCCAGCAATGTGAAAGGGCATGGTGTGCATGTCAGAGGCCTAAAAAGACTAGAGACAGCTATTGATTTCTTGTCAAACTGAAACACAGGATTCCTGCAGGGACTGTGCACGGGCTTAAAAACTGCAGAAAGGGATGAGAACAGATGGTCTTTGTTTCTCATCTGTTTTCTGGTAGGATGCTAGTGACTTCTGATGTTACTTTCTTCCTTTTGTGACTGGAATCAAACACACTTGTGGGTGAGCCAATTCCAATTTGTATCCTAAAAGAGGTTATGGAAAACTCTTCACCAGTGTTGATTGCACAGGAGTTGATCACTGTGGATGCAAAAAAAGTGTAATGACAGCACACTTGCTGTCATCCAGACTAAGCACAGCAATGAACCTGCACCTCCTGTGCCAAAACCAGTGTTTCAAATGGTGTTGATTCCAGCCGACAAAAGACAACCTAGACGGGGATTCAAAATTGTACCTCTTCCTGGAGGAGAAATGCCCCTTGTGTGCCTCCTCTGGTTCGCATTAGATAAGGGCAAGGAGTAGAAAATGCTGGCACAGCAGTCAGAGGGCTCAAATGTGAATTCTTTCTCACCCTTTTAATCTCAATGTAAGAGCAGGAAAATTAAATAGAGCTTTAAATTATGAATCTATATGACTTTCTTCCCCTTAAAGAGCACAGACCTTCAAGAAATCATTTGAATTTAGAAGACAGGTAGGAGCACATATGGCAGGAGTGAAGCCCCCACCAGCCCCTTCACCTACCTCTTGGGGTTGGAGTGTACCACCCCTATAACTGTGAGTTTCATGGCTGGTCTCAGGCCGCCTTTAATTTCACCAACATACTGCTCCACCTGCAGAGAACAGTGAAAACGTGCTGCGGTAGGTCACGCTGTGGGTAAACCGGCTTTAACAGATGCTTTGGTCACCTCATATAGTTCCATCTTATTTTTACGTGTACAACAGAATTTAAAAATATTTCCAGCCTAAAATACTTCTTGCACTTCTGGTATAAGTTCTGTCAGTTCTGGTATCTGAGGTGAGCCGCCATAACCGAATGGCCGGTAAGGAGGTGTTGGCTGCCAGACAGGACTGCTGGCTCCTGACAGGACTGCCAGCTCCGGCGGGTGGTTTCTGACCAAAACTGCTGTCCGTAAGATGCATGGCTGCTGCTGGTGCTCTACCTGACCGATATGCATGACTGATGACCCCGACGGCATTGCCTCAGGTGGCCCTGGGAACAGCCACCACTGACTTCAGGCAACTGATGCCACTCCCCCAGACCAGAGCAGGTCCAGCAAGCGCCACAGTGACCCACACCTCTCATGAGTGACAGGACCCAGATCGCCGACACCCCTGGGATGAGCTGGTGAGGGCTGCTAAGGTCTAATGACACAATAAATGTGGTCGCAGGAGATCAAAAGCTTTGTGGCAGCATGACGCAGAGTGCCGGCTCTGTGAGAACTTACTCCACCAGCTCAAATTCGTTAACAGGTTTTGGTAGGCTAACCTGACACCAGTAGGCTTTGCACCAGGCCAGGCAGCCCCTGTCCTCGGCCACAAAACCACAAAGCCAGCACAGACACCGTGCCGCCGCCACATTTTGGCAGAAACACAACCATGTCCTCACAGCTGAGCCCAGTCACACCCATACCCATCCCTTTTTCAAAGCCAGAAAATGGCTCCCTTGTGGATCCGCTTCTGTCCCATTCACCTGTTGTGTGAGGTCCAAAGATCAGAGTGACATTTACTTGCCCCAAGTATTTCTCCAGCAGATTTGATGGTCAGTGGAGAAACTAATACGGTTGATGTGGTTGATGTGGAAAAATAAAAGAGAGTGCTTGGAAACAAGTGATAGGGATGTTTTGAGACTTCAGCTTCAGAAATGGCTTCAAAATGTAAATGCCGGAGTACTACGCTGCAGCTTGTAATCACTCCCCGTGCAGAGTCACTTAGAAAGAACCTGCTATAAAACACTCAGCGTTATTAGCAATTTGCGTAACGCTGATAATATTCCAAGGCAATGCACAGCAGACCTTATTTTAGATAAAAAGTGCTTTATCATTCCAGTGTTCCAAGGTAAAAATTCAGACATTTTTTGCTAGAAGACCTGCACAATATATGTATTTTGACTATGAGAAGCACTACATCAGCATGGAAACCCACAGACTTCTGTTCACAGCAAATGTGCTTCCATTCAAGTGTAAGTTGCTATGGGTATTTCGTATGTACTTTTAAATTTTGGAAAAGATAACCAGTGCTAGAGTTTTAAATTACTGAATCCCAGCTTGCTTAAGGGAAACACAAATTCAAGACAAAAAATGTTTTGCCTATACTCCATTTCCTAATTTCAATATACTAGTTATATCTTCTGTTAAGATGATCTTAAACAATTTATTTTTCCACCTTGATATTTACATCCAGCCACATTTACAGCTTCACAGGTACATTAATAAATTCTAATTCCTAACAAGGCAAATATTGGAAGAAACTAATTAAAAAGTACCTTAAAAATGACAACACTACTGCCAATTGTTAGTAATGTGCATTACCTTTGCTGAAGTGGGCAGCTGACTCCAGCAGGTATATTTTGAATTTTGAAACAAAAGCAAAGCATCAGCCACCTGAGATGTTTTACGTGAGGGAGCAGCTCCTCAAGTAAGGAGTCTGACTGTACGGAGATACTTTAATTTGAATAAAGCAATTAAAGAGTGGGTAATAAGCACAGAAGACCCCAGGCTAAATGAACTTCATCCTCATACAGGTCCTGTGTTCAACTAAAGCTCCTTCCTTGCCTACCTACACAAGAGACAAGATACAAAATAACACCCCAAGCTGAAAGTGCACTCTGAGAAATTGTGCAGAGCTGCACCATAGCAAGCACTAAAGGCACGGGGAATCAGAAATGAACAGATCGAATGTCGACCACATGGCTTCAACACCTACAGCTCATCCAGCATGGCTGAAGTAAGTTCAGAGGCATGACTACCCACGCGCCATTTCTCTGCTGACACTGAGGTGACAGTACAGGTGAAAAATACCAAGGATGCCATAGGAGGTAATGGTACAAACCCCTGCGGTATGGATCCCTGCACGTGCACATGGACATAGCCCCTTCCCATATTTTCCGTTTGGGAGCCCTGGGGACTCACTCGGTCACTTACTTTGGGATACCTCTCCTCTGTCATCATCGCTCTGCCTCTTACACTTGCCTCCACCGCAGCAGTCCCCAGAGGAGTTTTTGTTTTGTGTGTCAGGACAAAAAAAAAAAACAAAACAAAACACAAACAAAAAGCCCGGAAAAAAGGGAGGATGTTGGGGGGGGCTTATCTCTACCCAACACTGGCGGGACACCACCCAGCCCTGCAGCTGAGTCACGGCCCTCCATGTCTTGTACCACCGGGGAAACCTCACGAACAAGGTGGCTGGTGCTGGTGAGAGGACAGGGGGGCCACACGGGTGGGCAGGCCCCCGCTGCCCCGCACAGCAGTGCCTGGCAGGCCCATGCCTGTTGCTGTATCTGTATCTATACCTACACATCTTTATATTAAAGTATTTTAAATTATGCGTGTGTGTAACATACTGTATTCGCATATGTAATACATATAACTAACACGTCATTTATTTATTTGGATACCATTTCTGCCCTCTCTCAAAGAAGTAAATATATATATATCTCTTATATCCCTATATAGACCTATATATAGAGGTATACATATATACACATACACAAGGGTTATTCACATACACTCAACCACCACGCACCCCTCCTACACACACACCCACACACACATAGAAGGGCCGTACACACCTCCCCACACACATACACAAGGCGTGTACATACACACACACCGCCCCACACACACACACCCGACTCACACCC